AATATATTTAATTTCACAACATAAATTACAATTAATAAATACAGTATAAAGTATAGTTAATGATTTAAAAAAAATTTTTAAATAACGCAACTAGATGTTTTTTATTTTAAATTATTATTAGTAAAATTAGTTATCAAAAACATAAAGTTACAACTTGTTTGTGGACCATGTAACAAGTACCTCGGTGACATTGATATACTCTTAATAATAATAAATTTCATTACAGCTATTAAGCTTATATTTTATAATAATTTTATAACTATTGATAATAAATAAAATAACAATTTACCAGTAGGTTATATAAAGTGCAATCATCTATGAATATTATTTATAATAATACAAAAGATTAACAATATTTAGAACTAATTCTCGTATTGCACGTAAACAATAGTAATTACTGTATATCAACAGGTATAAACTTGAATTTTATTACTTGTTATGTATTATATTATAATTGTTTACGTAAATTGCATTATGTGATATCGTCAAGCACCCCGCCTACCACATTGTCCAATCAGCTCACATTGCTCAAACAATATTAATCAGTATTTCAATTAAATTATTACATTTATCAATCTTAACGCAATTAAATGATACAGTAACATTAGTACGAATAATATATTGTAGTTATTTAGTACAACGGTAAAGATATAAACTCGTCAAGGTAGATAAAATTAAATTTATAAAATGATTTTTATACTAAATAATAAAAAAGTTACATAATATTTTTACTAATTAAATAATAATTGTTAAGGCAAATCGTATTTTAATTTTTTTAAAAAATTAATGTACCGCCATTATTTTTAAAACATTAAGATAATACCTTGGCTATAAACCACAATAATGACATCAATTATGATATTAAATAGTATTTACACAAAAAATACATATAATTTCATTGTATGCAATGTTTATATTGCTTTCACTGATAATTAATTAGACATTTTTATTAAACGTGTTAAAAATAAACAAGGTTAAGGGGTGGGCAGCCAAGTGATTTTATAGGGTAGGGCTTATAGGTACAGGAGTCATACGATAAGACATACATTTCCATACGTCGGGGGTTTATTCAGCTGATAGCCCGTAGTGTTCAGACAATGAATAATACTGTTTACTACGAAATAATTGCAAACATTTAAACACTTTTCTACACTGAATCTCATCATTAAATTTAATATTCTTTGAAAATAAGATAAAATCTCTGGAGACTAGCTCTTCGGGTATAAGCCTTTTGGCAAAGTTATTGTCTCTAAAGTATAGCAAACTTATAGCAAATGGTTTGATATATGAATAGCGGCACAGAATCGCGAGAATATGACAATCAATAAGAATAATAGCGATTCGAGCGACACATTAGACGCGAGTAGTCGCCAAAACGACAGTCCCGTTGCGGCCGATATGGCGACCCCGTGCTGTCCCGACCCTAAGGTCCAAACGGGAATGAATGGTACGGACAGAGCGAAACGAATAGCCATTACAGTGGCGAAGATTACGGCACTTCTGGTCCTCTTATACCTCTTCATCTGTTCGCTCGACTTCTTGAGCTCAGCGTTTCGTTTGGTCGGCGGACGGGCCGCCGGACGGATAATATCGGACAGCGATCTGCTTAAGAATCCGGTGGTGGGGCTCGTGATCGGCGTTCTCGTCACAGTACTCGTGCAGTCGTCGTCCACCTCCACGTCCATCGTCGTCACAATGGTTGGCTCCCATCGTAAGTGAATTTCGTTTTTACAATATCTGAGCAGATATTCCCAATAGTGTATCAGAAAAAATGCTTTAATCATAAGCTTTCAATATTGCTTTTCTGTAAAGTTAGAAAGTTATCAAGTTTATATAAGTGACATATACTGTACTAAAAGAAAATAAATATTCATGTATGTATAATGTTTAGTACAGTATATGTCACTTATATTAAACTTGATAACTTTCAAACTTTACAGAAAAGCAATATTGAAAGCTTATGATTAAAGCATTATTTCTAATACATTATTGGGAATATCTGTTCAGATATAATGACAATCGATTAACATTGAAAACTTAGTAATGTTGACCATAAGCTTAAAATTAACAGCTTACACATTCAATGTATATGAGTAAGCTGCTAATTTAAAGTTTTGTTCTACATTACTTAGTTCATTGTTAAACGATTGTCATTATATCGATAGAAAAAACCCTGTTTCATTATTAATGACACGAACTATTTTAGTAATCAAAGTACGGGAGGCCATACCTATAGTTATGGGCGCCAACATCGGCACGTCGGTCACCAACACGATTGTGGCGCTCATGCAGTCGACCGACCGAAACGAGTTTCGTCTGGCTTTCGGCGCCGCCACTGTTCACGATATGTTCAATTGGCTCACAGTTATAGTCCTGTTGCCCATCGAAGTGACCACTCGTTACTTGGAGACAATAACCGACGCCCTCATGACAGGCGACTGGCAAACGGACACCTCGGCCAATAAGGAGTTCCTGGGTCATATAACTAAACCGTTCACTAAGCTCATAATTGAGCTTGATAAGAAAGTGTTGGATGAAATAGCCAGTGGTCAAGAGTCGACGAATGCCACGCAATCGCTCATTAAAAAAGGCAATTCACTGTTTTATAAGCTGGGTATGAGTGACACGATCACCGGGGTTGTATTACTGGTCCTATCGTTGGTGGTTCTGTGCGGTTGCCTCGTATTAATGGTTAAAGTGCTTAACTCTATGCTTAAGTAAGTTTCTAATGAAATACTTAAAAAAGGGACTCATTCAAAAAACCTAAACGAGAATCCTAAACTCAAATAACTAACTAACTAGGTTAGGATAGGTAAGGTTAGGTCAAGACACGTCTATTCTGCTTATCAGATTAAAAATATGTTCACTGGTCAGTTAGTTATTTGAGTTGGCATTTTCGGTTTTAGGCCTTTTGGGGTAGAACCAAAAATATGCGTTTAGATGAATAGAAATTAAAATAAAGTTAAATTATGTTTTTTAGGGGTCATATAGCAATCGTCATAAAGAAGACAATGAATAGAGACTACCGGTTCCCGTACTCAATATTAGTCAGCTATTTAGCAATACTTATCGGATGTATACTCACTATATTAGTGCAAAGTAGTTCAATATTCACATCAGCGCTCACCCCATTGGCCGGCGTTGGTGTCATATCTTTAGAAACTATGTATCCCTTGACACTGGGCTCTAACATCGGCACCACTACTACAGGTCTAATGTTATATCTATTTAACTGCATAATACTTTTTTGCAATTAAAACCATTTCTAAAAAATCATAAAACATTTGAAATGGGAATATGAATCAATCGATTTTAAAGGGATTTTGAAAATGCATATACTTGGTTATGAACTAGTAGTATCTAGAATGTACATTGTAAGGGAGTTTTTGGAGGAACAAAGATGGGAGGAATTAGATCACCCCCCCCTATAGCCCTGATATGTCGCCCCCGGACATGCATGGTATTCATCATATAAAAGCTCCACTCAAGGGAAAGGAGTTCCAAACAAGAGATAAAATCATCCACGGCTATGAAGCTGT